TACCCAGAGGAACTCAAATCATTCTACAAAAAAGATACCTGCACACATATATTTGTTGCAATTCTATTCACAATAGCAAAAACATGGAACCAACCATGTTGCCCATCAAAGCTGGACTGGATTTTTAAAATGTGGAACACACGCCGGGCTCAGTGGCTCAGCCTGTAATCCCGCGCCTTTGGGAGGCTGAGGTGAGAGAAACGCCTGAGTCTGCGGGTTCGAGACCCGCCTGGGCAGCGAGACCTCATCTCTACAATCAATCCAAAAATTAGCCGGGCGTGGTAGCACGCGCCTGTAATTCCAGTTACTTGGAAGGCTGAGGCGGAAGGATCGCCAAAGCCCAGCAGGTCGAGCTGCAGTGGCCGGGAGTGGCCACTGCACTCCAGTCTGGGCGACAGAGTGAGACTCCAACTCAAAAAAAAAGTAGAAAATATACAAGTAGAGGCCCATCAATAGTTTATGTCTGGTGATAAATAAAAGCAGTTTGGCGTAAAAGGAAACTAAACACATTAGTGCTATGTGCTAAAAATGTAGTGATTAGCCTTGAATAAGAGGGATACTGGCCAACTAGCTTCAAAACCAGCTCACCTGTGAACAGGTAAGCTGCAAGAAGGGTCAAGGATCACAAAGCAATAGTTCTTGAGACACACAGTTGAAAAAACTATGTTGGGGACTGGTGTGAAGGTAAAGAACAGAGACTATGAAACCAAACTGCCTGCATTCAAATCCCAATTCTGCCATTTATTCAGTTGTGGTCTGGGCCAGTTTCTTGGCCTTTCTGTGCCTCAATTTCCTCATATGAAACATGAAAATATTAATAAGAACAACTTATTCACAGAGCTTTTCTGAGAATTACATGAGCTAATTGATATAAAGCATTTAGAACAATGCCTGGCACAAAAAGTACTATTACCACCTACTATTATTCCTCCAAGTTCATGAATTGGACACAATATCAATGCAAGCTGGAGTCCTTGTAAAAGTTCAAGAAAGTACTTAGACTTAATAGAAAGGATTAGGCCGGGCTTGGTGGCTCAGTCTGTAATCCCAGCACTTTGGGAGGCCGAGATGAGTAGATTGCTTGAGCCCATGAGTTCGAGACCAGCCCAGGCAACTTGGCGAGACCTCCTCTCTACAATAAATCAAAAATTAGCCAGGCGTGGTAGCACGCGCCTGTAGTTCTGGCTACTAACAAGGCTGAGGCAGAAGGATCACTGGAGCCTAGCAGGTCGACACAGGGGTGGCCGTGAGTGTGCCACTGCACTCTAGCCTGGGCGACAAAGTGAGACTCCAGCTCAAAAAAAACAAAAGGAAAGATTAAGAATCCTTAAATGGAATGCAAAAAATAACCCATGAAGGAAACCAAAAGAAAGACATTTTGTAAAAAGGGTAAAAAAAATCAAGTTACTGAGTACAATAGGTAATACTGATGTACTTAACTGCTGTTAGGCCCAGAACAAATAGAGTTGATAATCACTAATAAATTGTAAAATTTGAACCTCAACAAGAAGAAATGAATAGAAGCTTCATGACAAATGATGAGAACTATGACAGCTGCTAATGCCATCTAACACCAAATACTTAACCATACTCCAGACTCTGCTGAACACTTTACACGCAATAAAACTAGCCCAACCTTATAAGCCACACTCTATTACAAAACAGAGGTATGGAGTGGTCAGGAAACTTACATAAGATCAAACAGGCTAGTATAAACCAAAGCCAGGATTCAAGCCTTCTGACTGAAAGCCCATACTCTTAAGCTGCAGTACAATCTACTTAAATGAGGGATCTTACAGTTACTTTAAAATTCTAGAGAAATTACTACTAAAACATTTCTGAAGACACTCTGTTAACTGAATTAACTGGATGCATTTTTAAAAATCCCTGCCTCTATTCATGCAGAAGCATACACTGAGAAATAAGAAGGCACTAAGTGGCCGGGCTCGGTGGCTCAGCCTGTAATCCCAGCACTTTGGGAGGCCGACATGAGTGGACTGCCTGAGCCCGCGGGTTCGAGACCCACCTGGACAACTTGGCGAGACCTCATCTCTACAATAAATAAAAAAACTAGCTGGGCGTGGTAGCGCGCGCCTGTAGTTCCAGCTACTTGGAAGGCTGAGGCGGAAGGATCGCTGGAGCCCAGCAGGTTGAGGTTGCAGTGGCCAGTAGCGGCCACTGCACTCCAGTCTGAGTGACAGAGTGAGACTCCAACTCAAAAGAAAAAGAAAAAAAAAGAAGGCACTAAGTTTAGAGCTGGGGACAGAAATAGAAGATTCAATCCCTGCCCTTGGTAAATAGCATCTTCTACAAATTAGCAGAAATCATAAGCTATATTAAATTAAGCTACACAAACCTGAGAAACTTTGTGCTTCAGCTGATTGCAGAAAGCCCTCAAATCAAATTCTGATGACTTTTCTGTAGAGGTGGAAAAATCATAGACACAAAAACTTAGGCATACTATTTTCAAATCTACAACAAATTCTTAAGTGCATGACGTTTCCTGCCAAATTACAACAAAAGAAATAAAAGGAATAAACCAAGCAAGAACTATGAAGCCTCTACAGAAACAAACAACTTTAAAGTTCTCAAACTTAGAAAACTGGTATCATACCTCCCAGAAGGTAATCAATGTGGGCTAAAATTAAGAAAAAAGATGCTGGATTTCTTTCTACGCAATGCATGATTATATTATATTCAACAGGTTTTATTTTGGATTTTTTTTTAATTAGAGTATGTAGCCGGGCTCGGTGGCTCAGCCTGTAATCCCGCGCTTTGGGAGGCTGAGGTGAGTGGATTGCCTGAGGCTGCGGGTTTGAGATCCACCTGAGCAACTTGGTGAGACCTCATCTCTACAATAAATAAAAAAATCAGACGGGCATGGCAGCGTGTGCCTGTAATTCCAGCTACTCGGAAGGCTGAGGCGGAAGGATCGCTGGAGCCCAGCAGGTCGAGGCTGCAGTGGCCAGGAGCAGCCACTGTACTTCAGTCTGGGCGACAGAGTGAGACTCCAACTCAAAAAAAATAAAATAAAATAAAATAAATAAATTAGAGTATGTGCTATATGAAAGCAAATTACCTTTGAAGACTTTCTTATTCTTTACTGGCTGTCCAAGATCCACATTATTGTGTATACTAATCTTCATTTGTTTAGCTTTTTTGGAAATTCCAAGTAGGGTTTCTTCACTGGATCCTGGTGATTGCTCATGTGTTAAAAACAATTTATTTAGCAATTTAGTTACTCCTTTAGCTGCAAAAGTTGTAGGCCTCTTCTCCTTAAAGACTTCAGAATAGGGCTGTCCTAGAAATTCAGCAATATCAGAAGGAAAGGTAAAATCTTTGAAGTAAGGCATTGGTTGAATCTTAGAGACCTCTTGAAGCAATCCAAACAATGGCTCGTATAAAGAAATCAGCCTTTTAAAAACATCTTTATAGAGGACCCTGGAGAAAGAAATAGGAGCTCATGAATTAGCCAGTAATTACAATTTGAAGATTACATAATAAACTACACAATTCGAAGCCGAAAATAAAACCTATCACAGTCTGCCACTACTGATTTTAAAAATACTATAGCACATACTTGCAAACCTTATATCCAGATTAGTTCAGCCAGACAGAAAAATCTGGGTATATAATGTTATTAAAAAAACAAAGTACCACATGGAGAGAGGTTGCAAAGGACACATATCAAAATCTTGTGTGGTTTTATCTAGATGGTGACATTATAAGCAAATTTCTCCACATTTTTCTATACTTTGAAATAAAATTTCATAAAATAATTATGTATTGTAATCAGCAAAAATTAAAGCTATTTTCATTACAGAAAAGAATGGCAAAGGTTAAACATTTTAAAATAATATGATTAGTAACTCAACTGTTGTTACCTCTGATTAAGAATAAGCAGAATAAAAAGCAAACTGATAGAAAACATTACTTGAGATATCTAGCTTAAGAGATTAAAGCAAGGTTTCTGGGGACACATAACATTAATAAGGGCACCTGATCTTAAACTGGGCAAAGTGGGGACCAAAGGTAGCCCAAACTTTATCTGTACAATGACCACTTATATACCTAATCTTGAATTGTACCCCACATCTTTAAAATAAAATAAATTTTAAAATATTTTTTTAAAACAAGATTTTCAATCTGCAAAAGCAGAAGAAAAACTTTTCTACTTTTTTACTTTAATTTTTCTCCAGTGCTTTCTTTTTTTTTTTTCATTAATCAGTATTTTTTATTATGTTTTTGTGGGGTACAGTTAAGGGTTAGGTGTACAATTACGTTTCATTCAGGCACCCTGTTGATAAGAGGTGTTTTCCCATCCCCCGACAGATATTTGCTACTGTTAATCCCATCTCCCTCACCCCCATAGTTTCCCAGTACCGTCAGTCATTTTCTTATAGTATTGCATTGGATGTTCAAGGTCCATTATATGAGTGAGAACATGTGATATTCAGATCTTTGTTTCTGTGAGAGGTCACTCAGTATTATAGACTCTAGTTCCATCCAGGTTGCAGTGAAATTCATGATTTTGTTCTTTTTTATGGCTGCGTAGTATTCCATCATGTATATGTACCACATTTTTTTAACCCAGTCCTCTTTTGATGGGCAGCATGGTTGTTTCTGTGTTCTTGCTACTGTGAACAATGCAGCGATAAACATACGTGTGCAGGTATCTTTTTTATAGAGTGATTTGAGTTCTTCAGGGTATATTCCCAGTAGGGGGATTGCAGGGTCATATGGAAGGTCAATTTTTAGAGCTTTTAGGAATCGCCACACTGCTTTCCACAGAGGTTGCACTAGTTTACACTCCCACCAACAATGTAGAAGTGTTCCCTTTTCACCACACCCTCTCCAGCAGCTGTTATTTTTTGAGTTGTTGATAACTGCCATTCTGACTGGAGTTAGGTGGTATCTAAGTGTGGTTTTGATTTGCATCTCCCTGATGATTAGTGAGGTTGAGCATTTCTTCATGTGTTTGTTGGCTGCTCGAATGTCTTCTTTTGTGAAGTGTCTGTTCATATCTTTTGCCCATTTTATAATGGTGTTGTTTGTTTTCTTCTTTTCAGTACGTTTCAGTTCCTTGTAGATCCAGGATGGTTAAGCCTTTGTGA